GAAATAAAGCCCTAGTTCGAACTACCTGTTAAACCTCATTGCAGGAGGAATAACAGGTAGTTTGTGTAGATGCGGGCAGTTACTTCAGCCTTGTAAATTTAAAAAAAAAAGGTGCCCGGCCGGGAAGATGCAAATCAAGCGCGGGATATTTAAATCCCGGGCTTGATATGCAATTCCGAATGCCTACATTTGCAACCCTAGTTCGAATTAGGCTTCAAGTGTAGACATACCCTTAGTGAGAATGAACACATCTGAAAACAGACTAAGCCTTTTCATTTTTCTTGAACCAGGAAGTTTGTCCCACACACAAAAAAGGAGTTTTTATGCTGAATATAAGACTTTGAAGCTCATCTGTAGATCAGTGTAAAGTAGGCCAGGAAGGTGCTTATTTGAACAAACTTTGCAAAAAAAAATTTTCGAAGGGGAGGGATTTTCTGAGTAATTAAGTGTGAACACATATGAATATTACATCTTTATGCAGAATTATGGCCCACATACTTCTCCAAGCTAGTGATAATAAAAGCAGTCTGTGGAGAATCCTAACAGAGTATGGGGGGAAAGGGTAGGCAGGCAGCGGGAGGTAGAGAGAGGTATTAATCCCCATTCTCCATCCATGCATGAGGTCTGCAACCCATTACAATGTTTCCTACATTGCCAGGTTTCCTATATTAACAAATCAAGGAGTGGTTGAAGGTGGAGTAATACAGGCAGTTATTCATAGACCATCACTGTTTCCTAACCTGCTAGCACACAGAAGAATTTGAGAATACAAAGTGTGTTAGTCATGGTATTCCTGGAGTGCGTCAAAGAGTCTGCTTTCTAAAAACGCTAAAAGCTTGAAGTGAGTTAGTGACTTGGAGATCAACTGCTTTACCTTTTCAGAAGACTTGGGATTGAGGAAGAGTGGGGAGCTGTTGATTTAAAAAATTATCTTTGAGACCAGGACAAAAGTTAGTTATGCTAACGTAAGGAAGAAACTGTTTTAGGTAATGAGGAAAGATAAGAGGAACACAAATATCTATGCAATTCAGTGAAGCTAAAGATGTGCTCTGTAAATGGCCCTTACTGTTCTAGGTTCAGCATCTTCCACACTGTTAAGAGAAAAGCTAAGACTTTCAAATCAGCCATAATTTACTTACTTAGCCTTTTTTCCTTTTTCCTCTTATTTCTCTCATTCTCTTCTGTCTCTGATTTGGTAAAGGCCATTTAGGGAAGGGAGGGACAGAGCTACAACTTCTAGATCACAAGTACAGAGAACACGAGGCTTTCAAATGGGGAAACCTGTGTATGAGCTGTCATTCATGCTAAAATTCGACACACTACATCTGAGTTTAAACAAAGGATCTAGTTATCTTACCCATTACAAAGATAGCTTCCCCAATTATCACCTCTAATATCATTAGCCCACAGACATTCACCTTCAGAACCCCCTTCTGTTCTGAAATTTGATTTGTCCTTTTCATATGTGTTCATTTTTTAAAATTGTATCCTTTGGTATATATGGTTGTGACTATTTTCTTCTACTACTTGATCTGAGGAAGTGGGTCTAGCCCACGAAAGCTCATCATCTAATAAACCATCTTGTTAGTCTTTAAAGTGCTACATAGTCCTGTATTTTGTGATCCCCTTGTGCATCTGAAAATACTGTGAAGGGCCTGGAAAGGTTCTTTATACCTTAATTCCTAAGGGAGGAAAAGGGAACCAGCCATCATGGCTACTTGGGAAGTACACTAACGGTGCATCTAAACACTAGGGTTTAACTTGAAATAAACTAGACAAATTGAGCTATGTCAATTGCATAGCTATTTCAAAACAGCTTATTTCGAAATTGGGAGCATCTACACAGTACTTATTTAGAAATAGAACTCTCTTCCTCTGACTTCCCTTATTCCTCATACAATGAGGGTTACAGGAATCAGAACAAGTACAGTAGAGTCCGACATAGCCGGATAAACCCTGGGGTTCCACGGACCATTGTCAGGGGTTCCGCAAGAAATCCCCAGCCAGCCTAGCGCAGCGCGAGTATGCAGCTCCCCCAAGGCCAACTGCCCCACGCTGCCATGCCGCATGCAGCCTCCCTGGCTGAAGAGGCTCCAGCAGCAGCCCCTGAAAGCCAAACTGAAACCCCGCGCTGCCGCCGGCCCGCCCTGTGACCAGGCTCATTTCTCCTGCCCCAGCTGCTGAAGTCCCTTGAATTGCAGCGCACAACGGGCGATTGAGAGTCCAGCCTGCGGGTTGGAGCCTCCTGCCAGCGCCGCTTGGTCCCCATCTCTCCCTGCAGCCCCCAGGCATGGGCCGAGAGAATGGCCCTACTTGCTGCCCCGCTGCTCTGGGCGCTGCTGATACTGCTCCTGCTCCCACCACCCTCCTCGGCGGCCTCCAAGCGGAACATCCCCAACATGCTGCTGCCCTTCGCCCGGAGCACCCGAATCAACTACTGTACAGGTAATGTTCTGTACTCCATATTATCCAACATTTTCGGTAATCCGACCACCTGTCGGTCCCGTTTAGATCGGATGATCGGGACTCTACTGTAGTCCTCCAGCTTGACAGTATTTCGACATTATTTTGAAATAGTCCGCATCTATACAGCAGGCAGTTAAGTTATTTCAAAGTAATGCTAGTTATTTGAAATTATGTTCCTGTGTAGATGTACCCTAAGCTTATGTCTACACAATAGTCTCGATTTTCCGACCTTTGCTTATCTGAAATTCTGTTTTATCTGACATGCTGCCCACCAACATGAAGAACTGACAAATAAGAAAGCAGCATGTACAACAGCCAATCACAATCAGCGCCGCGTACCTACACCACACACAGAAGTGTAGTTGTGCTTTTGTTTGATTATTCCAAAGTAGACTGAAATTTCTTTATCAGCATGGCAAGTGAAAAGAGAAAGAAAGTAGTTGTTTCATTGGAACAAAAACTGGAAGCTTTACAAAAACCAGATAATGGTGAAACTATGCAAAAAGTGGGGTCAGAATATGGTGTGGGGTGTATTACTGTTGGCAACTGGAAAAGAAAAAATGAAATTGAAAAATGGTGCTCTGTAGGGCTTCAAATGCAGGTCTGAAAAAAAAAGACGATGAAAAATGCGAGTATGAAAGGTGAGTGAAGCTTTATTTTTGTGGTTCAACACAGCAAAGACAAAGCTTTATTTTTGTGGTTCAACAGCATGCCAATAACTGGACCTATTCTACAAGAAAAAGAACTGGCATTTCACAATGAAGGAGAAGCCGACTTCACAGCTACTACTGGCTGCCTCGATCATTGGAGAAAATGATGAATATAACGAAGAATCAAGTCAAGAAAGTTGTGAAAATCTTTTAGTCTTATTGAAACAGATACCGAGCTGTGAAGATGTTAGCAATGATGATGTACAGGAATGGATGGAAAAAGATGAGCAACAAGAGCTGACTGATATTTAATTGACCTTGTGAATCATGGTGATGACGATGATATTATCAAGACTAGAGAAAGTGCATAAACTGAGTGACAGTGAACGAGTAAAGGCTCTCGACGCAGCACTAATTTACATTGAGCAACAGAGGGAAGCAACCGCTCCAGATTTACTGCTGTTCAGATGCTGGCGTGATCTTGCCACGAAGAAAAGTAAGGATGCCCAAAAACAACTCCCGATCACTCATTTCTTTAAAAACTAAACTTTTGTATATTCATGAAAGTGTTGTAAATTCTATTTTTGTTTGTTGAAATATTCTATTTTATTTTTTCATTAGATTTAGTAATAAATTAAGTTTATACATATTTGTACCTCTGTTTTTTATTAGTATTCCATATTATTTGACATTTCCACTATCTAACCATCCTCCGGTCCCATTTAGATTGGATAATCGAGACTCTACTGTACTATAGGACAAAGTAGAGGTATGCAACTTCAAAGCTGAATTAAGATATGTATAGCTGAAGTTGAAGTAGTTTAACCCTACTTTTTGGCACTGTCTACACTGCAGGAAGTTGAAAGAAGAACACTTTAACTTCCCTTACTCCTTGTGAAATGAGGGTTACCGGCATTGACAGGAGCGTCCCCTCAGATTGAATTAGCTGTCTTAACGCGACTGCTAATTCGAACCTGGAAGATTTACAGCAGCAGCTTTGATCTCCCTCTGCAGCGTAGACATACCCTAAGGGATAGGTGAATCAGCCATATCAAGTCTACTAATTTCAGTTCTTTTGACTTCCAAGTAAGTTTCCAACAAGGCTTTTTGTTGTTTCCAAGTTCCATTTTGGAAAATATCTCTGAAGGACATGCTTAAATGATTAAAAAAGAAAGCACAGAAAATTGATATAAAATATATAAAAGTAAAAATAAATAAAAATCAGGTCCTGCATAAAATAGGCTCCCAAAAGCCTTTTCCAGCCCTGCTACTAAATAGTAGGAGCATCTGCCTACATGTGGCACTTCTGTTAGCACTGAGTCATAATACTTCTACTTCTTCTAGCACTGGGGAAATGCTACAGGAAATCCACCAAGCCAAAAAACCTATCCGCTATCCTGCTTTTTGCAATTTATTTTCAATTATTTTTTTAACCTTCTCTAGTGGATGTGGCAGAGGAGAGGCCACTGTAATGGATTCTCCAGTAGAAAGAGCTATTTTGTCTACATGGACCATCATAGCTTCCATTACAAAATATTATATTCAACCATTCATTCCTTCTCTATAACCTTTCTAATGAAAGAGAGAACTTGAACATAGCTGCATTTCTATAGGATATATCAGAAATGTTACAGCACAGAACCCATGCATGATAAATGTCTGTAAGGATTATTTACACATGCACCCACATACTCTCTGACTATGTACGAAGTTGCCCAAAATATTCCAAATATTAGAGGGGAAACCAAGGCAGACATTTTCAAAAAACTGTTAAGTTAACTCTTTTGGATATTTAAGTCATTTTGCAGGCATACTGAGACTGAAATAGAAGACTGGATTTCTATTATTGTTCCTGTAAACAAAATACAAGATTAAGCTACATACTGTTCCTGAGAGGACATCATGAGGGCAGCAGTTTAGGAGGTGGCTCTTGCACACTCGGTCATCACTGAATTTGATTCGCTGACGGGTAGTATCCCCTGAAATATAGAAATGAAGACACTCCAGGTTAGAGAAAAGCCAGTCTGCTTTGACAAGTGTTATGTTCAAAGTGTTAACAATTCCTTTGTCCCACAATGAACAAGGAAAACCTAATGGAAGCTAAAATTTGAAGGATTAAGTATCCTTTAATATGTACCCAAACACTAACTATGTTTTAAATTAAATTAGTTGCTGCTTAAATATAATTATAAGCTTCTACTTTTCCAAGTATCTTAAAACACATTTTTTTAGTGAAAACAGTATATTAGAGAAAATTTTTTGGCTAGGATAGCATCATTGTAAGATGCTATAAAGGTGTCTTTTCCAGATTTTATGTTAGCTACCATGATGGATTTGTACTTGGCAGTTAGCATATAAATTATCTTACAAACATGTAATACACATTTAGAGCCTCCACTGAATACCATCTGCCATTTCTTCTATTACTTTCTTCTTGGATGCAAAGCAACCTCTTATTTCTGGTGGGGTACGGTAAATAGAGGACAGAAGAATGGATTAAGTGATTAGAAACCTGAAAGAACCTGTCACACAAATGGAAATTGCCTGTAAGTAACATTACTTTTATAGAAGCTTGCAACCCCCATGTCATAGATCCCATCTGCTGCATGTTGCTGAGCTGGAAGCATTTTAATTCAATTTTCATAATGGTGTAGCTCCTGCATCACAGCAGAAGTATCAACCTGCTTACCACACAACGAAGTCCAACTGCAAGTTTAAATAAGTCCATCTGTGAACAAGGTTGTATACTTCAGTTCCAAATAACCAATTATTCAGGGGAAGAGGGGTTTATTGCAGGATTTGTTTTCCTTAAAAAGTCATAATGGAACAGTCACTATTCCATTTCTGGAAGTGAGGTCATTCAATTTTTTTCCTGTAGAGATACAGGAGTTATTAAACATCTCAAAAATCTCACAGAGTGTGTCTATCTACTCATTAAAATGCAATAAACTCCTAAGATCACTATTAAATGAAAACCTACTGGTGAATTACTGAAGCAAGGACAGCTGTTGGAGTAAAAAATACAAGTTCAGTTTACAACTTTTTCCCATCCCACCATTACTGATGTATGTTAAAGAGGGTGGATAAATTTTGCAATTATGAATATAGTCACTTCTCCATTCTAATAAACCTGAAACATCTGAGAATTTTAAATCTATTAAAAGGTTCAACAAGCCCAATCCATTTGTATAAGTATACAATAAAATGCCATCCTTCATTCTATTAATCTCATTTTTAAATATCACTGCGATGCACAGAAAAACTAAACTGTAACATTTTCAGATGGGCTGAACTTTATTCAAGTTTTTAAACAAATGAAAATTTCCAGAACAAGAGACACCTAATTTGCCTGCAGGTGCAACACAATATTAAGACCAGTAATTCACAGGCTAGAACAGCTTCGGAGCAGTTCAACAATAGGTTTTCTAGAGGCTAAGTCTTCAGTTTTAACAGGTTATTTGTAAAACTAAAAATTTAGAAAAATCCCTTATTCAATCACGCCTGCTACTGTGGTAAAAGGTTTTTTTTTTGGGTGGGGGTTCATTTTTTAAACACAAAGCTGCGTTTGTTCCACATTCATTAACACATCTGAAAAGTTAGTGATAACTCACGGCTCGGCGAATGCGGGGCCTTTCTGACACTCCCTTGCAGATTGAAGTAGGCAGGCATAGATACATTGAACCTTTATAAATAAAACAAGGGGCCAGATTGTTCAGTTTGTATAGAATAGACTCTGCCAGCAATTTCAACACAGCATCTAGAAATACATGTTGACTGTAAAGATTCTTGTACATAACAACAAATGAACAAAATCAACTAAAGTGTTAGACAGCTGATGGCTTACTAGAACTACTACTGAGAGGGATATTGAGACTGGGAGCTAATGACTTATGTGCCTCAGGCCTAATGAAACTAGTGTTTTCAGGGATGTAACTAAGTTGCAGGAGCATTCTTTCTATCCTTCCCACAAACAGCTGAGTGTACAGCAGCAATATACCCAGTCTCTCTTGCCTTTCCATTACATGGCATGCGAGACTGAGGAAGAAGGAATGGGACAACACAGAGAAAAGAGGTAGCTACAAAAATGAATGCATGAGGCACAACTGCTTTAAGAACTTGTTCCACATTTACATTCTAGTCACTATTTATGGACTCTATATTAGGTCTTTACTTTAGCATCTAAATGTTTCCTGCTTAAGTTAGATCCGCATAAAACATTCTGTTCTTCACTATAAAAGACTGGTTTGATATATATTTGGATTTTTTTTAAATCGACTCTGCTGTAATTATAGGAAAGCTCTTGGCAACATGGCCTGAATGTGGTTAGGCTCTGAGTTAGTTCATCAGATAACTCATTCTACAGCTAGACAGACCCCTTAAATAAAAATACTCCGTCTCAAGTATTCTATGAACTGGTACTATCCCAAAACTGCACAGATGTCTTGGCAGGTCACAGAAGTAGCTTGCTCCTAAACCCACTAATGATCTCCTGCTATAAGACAGTGAGGGCCCATTTGGTATGTGCCTTTGCTGGACAAGGTGAGAAGAAGAGAAAGACAAGGAAACACCAAATGCCTAAGGCTCAGTCTGCTGCAGAGGGAGAAACCTTTTAAGAATTATTTTTTAATGGATTAGCAGATGTTCCTTCCCAGAGCTTTCCAATAACCAAATGATTTCTGTGTGAATAAGCCAAAGTTCATGAGTTCTGCTACTCAAGATAAATATTTCTCTTGGTCTAATCGGATTGATTAAAGAAGCCACGGCATTGACTTTAATATTATCACATGAAAACAGTCACTAAACAATCCTATTAAATATTTAAGAATATAACCTTGTGTTTTCACAAGGGAAAATCATTTAAATGCAAGAGTAGTAATAATTTACAAGTGTTTTAAAACTATCCTAACAGATTAAATACAATGAATTAAACTCTGTCCCTTTGAAAAAAATGCATGCTTATGAAGAAATGGAGATCTGTATCACTGGCAGTTCAGACCTAGCTGCATATCCTAATTTTTAAAAAGTCAAGGTATTAAATCAGTTCAAAACAGGAACCATATTTAAACAGGCTCAGGAAGTTGGTCAACCAAACACTTATTTGATCCTTATCAAATATTCCATGAAGAATGTCCTCATACAGGCAGCAGCCTAACTTTTTGATTGCACCATTCTGCCTTTGAGGAGAAGGGGAGGAATTAATTTGTGTTTCACATATTTCTCAGATAAAAATTCAGGTAAATTACTTATTTTTAGTTAATTTGAGATATGTACTGTGAATAAGCCTACTGGAGACAATAAAGCCTTATTCTTTGTTACCATTCTAATAAATTGGTCCTTTAAAATATCTGATTCTTGTTGATATTGGTCAATTGACAAGTCAATTACTATTTTTCAACAAGACAAAAGCCTATTTTTAAACTTGCCTTTGCAGAGTACTACATGCTTGATAGTCAGGGTTTACACTTATTAAGGATCTAACATGGTAATTTATTAATATGTTACGGAAATCGGCATCTATTATATTATGACCCATTTCAGTGCTCCAAATTGGATTTTATTTATTTGTGCTGACTGACAGTGGATTTATACGGAGACTTGAAATGATTAATTTAGTTTACCTAAGGGAACAGCAGATTCAGTTTTATTCAAGGTATCTGACCCAAACCATATTTCTGTGATGTAGTACACAAGAGGTGAGCGGGAGAAGATCTTTTAAACAGAAATAAAGCTATTCAGGAAAAATAATTGTCAAGGATGCTTCTGTGCTTACCCATCTCATTTTCTGATATGTATGCACACAAACACTCCCTCCCATTAGTATTAGTACACATATCAGGAGGAGACCAGATGCCAAACAATGGCAGTAATAATGCAGTTATTTTAGGAAACTGCTTTGCTACATTAAGTAAAAAAAAAATTTACTAAAAAAGCAGCAAAAGTCAACAGCTAAGACCAAATTATATTGCTAAGCTTTAAGGAAAATCTAAGGGCTAAGAACATAGTAGCTATAAGCTCTCAAGATCAAGCCTCATAAGTACAAGTCAAAACATCCTCCAACAATCAAACTTTGTTGTGAACATCCACTAAATTCCTTCACGGGTGAACTTAGGAAAATACAGTACATTTTGACTGCTGATTTCAGCAATGAGTTTGTATAATTCAACCATCTTTTACAATAACTACTTACAGACTAGTTTCATTTCAGTCCATCATCTTTTGTTCATAGTATTGTAACATACTATGAACCCCAATTTAATTCTTCCATTTTAGACTCAAATATTCTAGAAAGAATTACCATTCAGTGCTAAACCTTGAACTCTAATATCAAGGCACAAGTACAATGAAACCAAAACATAATGGCCATATGTATCTCCATTAGGAGTGCAGCATCAAGCTCTTACTTTTTTCTGTATTAAGCTATATTACTAAAACAGATTAGGGATGTTAGATGGCAGGTTACAGAATAGTTGACTAACCACATGAATTCTTAGGAGTTAAGTCACCTGTTCTATAATCCCGGGACAGGGCCAGCAGCCAGTGCAATCTGGCCCCACTCCTGGGGAGCCCCCTGCCACCCTATGCTGCTGCCTCTGTAACAGAGGCAGCAATATGGGGTGCCAAGTGGGAGCTGGTTCATGAGGGGAGCCAGTTAAAAAACCTGCTTCTCATGGACAGAGGCTGCAGGGTGAAAGGGGGGGGGAGAAGAGGGGAAGAAGAGAAGACGGCAATGCAGAGCCATGCTGGGGGGAGGAGGGGACCAGAATGAGAGTAGTCAAGAAGATTAACCAATAAGCCTAGGCTTATCAAGTAATCATCTATTTGACTACTCATTCACTTCCCTAAAACAGATTAGGTTCCCCCTCAATCTACCCATCTAAAGTTTACATTTAATGTCTTTACTATAATGTATTAATAGGAATTAAATATTTTTCTAAGGGCACTATTCCACATTCTTTACACTGTGTGGATATAAAATTGA